GTTACATAAATTTTTAAATAGAACAGTAACATGGCAAGTATTATATAAGCTATAATAGCTAGTGACCTAAACATTGTCCATGTAATGTCTAATAATAAGACATAATTTATTCTGTGTTATAACAAGAGGTTACTTTTTTATAACCATTATTCATAAGTAGGACTATGATCTTATTACAGCGTGACATCACTTTCTCATGCCATGAGTTGTAATTTTCCACAGTGTACTTTAACGGCCATGTGAAAAATAATGTATCATAATAAACTTATCACCATTGTTTGATAACAGTTGATTCACAGTAAATTAAGTGTACCAGTATGATAAACTTATCATACATCAAATCTTATTTGGGAAAGTCATAAAAAATCTTAAATGTTGGCAATTTGAAAGAATTGTACTTCCTTTTAAAATATGTGAATAAGTATTTTTTTTTTCAATTTTAAATTTCCATTCTGTGTCAACGTAACCAGTATGATAAACTTTTATCATAGTGTTTTGTTGACCAACTACTTAACATGATTTCAAAAGGTTTTTACATATTATTATTTGGTAACATATTACTTAAACCTGATAGCAGTTTATCAAAAAATGTCAATTCAGGTCATTTTTATTTACGTAGAGTTATTTGATATCTCATTTGATAAACCTTGTAACAAACGTAAGTCAAGACAGTGAACTCCAGTTAATATTAAGTAAAATGGTTAGTCTCCCTTGAATATTTTAATTTTTGCATCTAGTAGGCAAGAGCTTAACAGTTCAAATGGTAGAACAAAATGTGATAACATTACCAAATAATGTTATGACACTGAGCTCAAGGTTATGATTCAGAATAAAATGTAAGATACTGGGTCATCTTAATCTAATTAGTGTATGTGTGTTTTATATTATTCAAAATTATGAAAAATGGATTATTTGAATGAAGGGGATCCTCTTTTATTTTATAGTGAAAGAAAAGGTTAGAGAAATGAACAGAATTTATTAAATTAAATTCTTTTTATCTCAATCATTTTATTTATTTTCATTTGAAGAATAGTGGGACTTTTCTACTCTATTCTAAATGTGTATTTGATATAATAATAACAGAAGAACAATTTCCAAGGTCTATAACCCTAGCATGGATGTTGACCCTTTACAAACTTAGAAAATTCTTGGCTTTTTAAGTTGTGCTTTGGAGAAAATTCTTGGCATTAGTTGTGCTGTGGAGCAAATTCTTGTCTTATAGTTGAGCTGTGGAGAAAATTCTTGGCATTAGTTGTGCTGTGGAGAAAATTCTTGGCATTAGTTGTGCTTTGGAGAAAATTCTTAGCATTATTTGTTCTGTGGAGAAAATTCTTGTCTTATAGTTGTGCTGTGGAGAAAATTCTTGGCATTAGTTGTGCTGTTGAGCAAATTCTTGTCTTATAGTTGTGCTGTGGAGAAAATTCTTGGCATTACTTGTGCTGTGGAGAAAATTCTTGTCTTATAGTTGTGCTGTGGAGAAAAGTCTTGGCATTAGTTGTGCTTTGGAGAAAATTCTTAGAATTATTTGTGCCTTTGAGAAAATTCTAGTCTTATAATTGTGCTGTGGAGAAAATTATTGGCATTAGTTGTGCTTTGGTGAAAATTCTTGGCATTAGTTGTGCTTTGGAGAAAATTCTTAACATTAGTTGTGCTGTGGAGAAAATTCTTGTCTTGTAGTTGTGATTTGGAGAAAATTGTTGGCATTAGTTGTGCTTTGGAGAAAATTCTTGGCTTTAGTTGTGCTGTGGAGAAAATTCTTATCTTAAAGTTGTGCTCTGGAGAAAATGTTTGGCTTTAGTTGTGCTTTGGAGAAAATTCTTGGCTTTAGTTGTGCTTAGGAGAAAATTCTTGTCTTACAGTTGTCCTGTGAACAAAATTCTTATCTTTTAGTTGTGCTGTGGAGAAAATTCTTGTTTTATAATTATGCTGTGGAGAAAAATTCTTGCCTTATACTTGTGCTGTAGAGAAATTTTTTGGCTTATACTTGTGCTGTGTAGAAAATTCTTGTCTTATAGTTGTGCTGTGGAGAAAAGTCTTGTCTTATACTTGTTCTGTGGAGAAAATTCTTGTCGAATAGTTGTGCTGTGGAAAAAATTCTTGTCTTATACTTGTGCTGTTGAGATAATTGTTGTCTGATAGTTGACCTGTGGAGAAAGTTCTTGTCTAATAGTTGTACTGTGGAGAAACTTGTCTTTATGTTGTGCTGTGGAGAAAATTCTTGTCTTGTAGTTGTGCTGTGGAGAAAATTATTGGCTTGGGTTGTGCTGTGAAGAAAATTCTTGTCTTATAGTTGTGCTGTGGAGAATCTTTTTGTATGATAGTTGTTTTTTTTTTTTGGAGAAAATTCCTGTCTTATAGATGTGCTGTGGAGAAAATTCTTGTCTTATAGTTGTGCTTTGACACTTAGTTTTAGATTGGTGTGGCATGTTTTTATTTAGAAATTGACATCTGTTTTCTTTTGCAGTGATACTCATTAGCACCATGTAAAAGATTCGAACCTGTCTTAAAAATTTTAACGACAGACAACATTTGGTGGATTATTGTGATATTAATCAACAATTACTATTATTGCCGCCTCGAGTAGAAAACTATTGTAATTTTAGGGCATGGCAATAATCAATGAAAGCTTGTAAATTTTAAACATGCACATTTTAGAAAATAGTATTGATCAGTCTATTCTGAGTTGAATGAGTGAACATTTTGGTACAGTACAGGGCAGGGTAAACAAGTGACAAACTATACGCAGTGATATTAGTCCCCTACCGGTTTACTGGAGGGGACTTTAGGTTTACCCTCCGTCCGTCTGTCTGTCCGTCAGTCCGTCCGTCCGTCAGTCAGTCCGTCCACAAAACTGGATCCCACAATAACGCAAAAAGTACTGAAAATATTTTAATGAAACTTGATATATGGATAGATGGCAGTATGGAAATTATGCACGTCTTTTTCTTTTCTTCCTATGTTGAAAATTCTGGTTGCTATGGCAACAAATAGACTGAAAATATGGCAAATTTTACACATAACCTGGATCCAGTGATAACACAAAAAGTACTGAAAATATGTTTATGAAACTTGACATATGGGTAGATGGCAGTATGGAAATTATGCACTTCCTTTTTTATCTTCCTTTGTTGAAAATTCTGGTTGCTATGGCAACAAATAGACTGAATTTCAAGATTTCTGATTCTAGTTTTTAAGTTTTTTCACTATAAGTTCTTTATTTCTTAAGGTATTTTCTTCAAACTTTAAATATAAGTTGCTTGTCATCAGCCACATCATATATGACAAGGTTTACAACTCTAGCACAAAATTTATCAGAATTACCTCCCTTGAACTTAAAATTTTCATGAAAAAAACATTGTTTTTTTTAATAACTTCTTTTTCTGAATGTATCTACTTCAAACTTCATATAAATGTTTCTTATTGTCACTCAACATTTGTGAGTGTTCAATACTCTAGCAAGACTACTATTTCCAGAATTATGCCCCTTTTGAACTTAGACTTTCTTTTGAGAAATTGGTAATTTTTACTCCAACTTCTTCAGTCATGATAGGATTTTAAAAATGTTATATTTTGATAACAGGGATGTTTAAAAAATAACTTTAGAGTGTCCTTCAGTCCGTCTGTCTGTACATAAAAACTGTTTCCTGTGATCACTTTTAAAGAACTTTTTCAACAAATTTACTTAAAATAGGAACCTAAGTGAATGGCCAATGGCCCTTCAGAATGTTGCTTGGGCTCTTACCGGTAGGGGACTTATGGATTGCTTGCAATACTATGATAATTGCTTGTTATTTCTGGATCAATCCTGGTATCTTCGCTGGTTGATATAGTATGGCTTTGTTCTGTCAAATCAAAAATAAAATTAAACTGATTTGACCTTGATAGAATTTCACATACTTATTTAAATACTGTCTTGTTTCTTATAGTTCTGTTGTAAGAGATAGTCATACACACACAAAAAAAACTTTTTGAATAAGAAAAGCTATTAAGCGCATTTTGATGATGTCCCAACATAATATATCAAAATAATAATCTGATGTTTAATTCTAATAAAGGTTAAGAAGCAATGACTATTGATATGCTCTTTACATAAGTAAATTAGCCTTTAAATAAATTTTGCTGTTCAATATATTGCAAAGACCAACAGATGTTACTAAATCTGAGATATAAGATTGGAATTCAATCTTTTCATCTTGAACCACAAAAATGTATTGATATGCCTTGTCTATAATATTGATCTAAATACATTGTACATGTATATATGTATCTTGTAGCAATATATACATGTTCATGTATACATGATGTGTGAATATATTTCATTATATGTTATATTATATGTTATTTTGGTTTTGGAGTGATATATGTGGATATATTACCTGTCAAGATTTTATATCATCCGAGCCGTTAGGCGAGGGTGATATTTTATCTTGGCAGGTAATATATTACTCCAAAACCAAATTATAATTTTATTACCCTTCCCGTGCCGAGTTAAGACGATTTTAAAATAAATCATTGCTAATTCAAATGAAACGTCGAAATAAAATTCCCTTTAGGATACCCCTTAACCATAACATGACATCATATAAATACATGACGTATTATCTTTCGAACATAACGGATATAAACAAGAGAAAATGAGTAGTCTGTTGAACACACTTTTTTGGAATTAATATCAAACTTTCACAAGGTCATATTTGTTTTCTATACTGACGAGAATATGTATTATTACTCTTTTTTGGTAAATATTTATCATTTGACAGTTTAAAAGTGCTTGTAAATTGGAATTTATATCGCGTAAAATCAAACTGTAAGTGCATTGCACGGCGCATGTTGTTTACAACGTAGGGTACCAATCGGGGAAATTTAATGTGTATATTACCCGTCTGGCTCGGTAATATCAATTTCTTTCGGGTGATCAATATCCAATCAAAAAGGCAGAAAAAATCTGGAAGGGTAATAAATAGTTTTATATTTTGGTTTAAGATGCTATGTAATTGAAGTGATTAGTGGATATAGATATTTCATAATGTACTTGTATTTTGTTGTTTCAGATAAAAGTGATGAGCCTGTTTCCTATGAGGCAGCATTGAAGACAATAGGTAGGTCAGAATTCTCAGCCACTTGATAGTTGTTAAGTTTATTATATACAGTGCAAACGCAAAAGTGCAATGTTCCATGGGAATCAATGAATTGATTGTCGCTGAGAGTTAAGTTGTATTAAAAAGTGGTTATGCATGTCTTTATGTTGAAGTTACAGTTTTACTTCGAGAAAATTGAAACTTGTTGTAAAGAGGTTATTTTTTCTATCAAAGGTCACTGTGCAGAGATTGCTTTGTAAAATTTAAAGATCTTTTTGTAAAACTTGTTCTTTTAGCAAAGATAAATATATTTAAATAGCTCTTTTGTCTTACGCTATGAGATATTCTGAGAATGTATGGTCCCAATACTGATACAATCGAAAGCTTCAATCCGAAAATCCATAGGTTTAGTTGCATAATACCTACATTTGTATCTTCAGCTCAAAAGCTATGGCAAATTTGAGGTTTCTATGTTACTGCATTTTTGAAGAATTCAGTCCATTTTCACTGATCGTTTCTTGAAGAAGATATTTTTTTATTGAAATTTTTATAAAAGTCAGTTTTTTTTTTTAAAATTTTAGAAGAAAGTTACTGTGATGAGAAATCTAAATTCTGATAGTCTTGATGTGTATTTGGAATGTTCTTTTCTATTTTCATCTTCTCATTTAGATTTACATTATTTTTTCTTTATGTTTGATTACTGCATATACCATATAGAATACTGCCTTTAGAATTTGATTCCTATCAAGAAAGATTGGAATGTTTGAATAGATTGTTAAAACAAAATACTTGAATTAGAATTCTAGTAAGGTTTCACTGTTGTAAATTTCAGGGTATGGAAAGTTTCACATTATATTGCTGGCGTTGTGTGGATGGGCAGTGTCTAGTGATGCCATTGAAGTTCTCTCAGTGTCCTTCATGCTGCCATCTGCTCAGTGTGACCTCAAATTATCCTCCGAGGACAAGGGATGGCTCAATGCTATCATATTTGTAGGTGGGTAACAGTGCTCGTCATAACCATTAGTGGCAAAAGATAACGTTAGTTACAGCAAATATAACTGTAGGCTGCTTTGTAATGAAAATGTATACAAAGTTCTCAGACATACTAAACTTCTTTATGGTCACATAATTATTTTAACTGACTATTTTGAAATTTATTTACAGTAAGAAGGAAATAATCAAAAATTTATTTGGAAAATATCTTTAGGCTTATAGTTTATTATGATTAAGTTAAACTTTTATGTATTATACTTAAAAATATTGCTAACAGTAGTTTAAACAGATTATCATAAAATAGATTTTTTATAAAAAAAATTAAAGAATATTTTGTTTGACATTGATGTCGAAAGCATGACAAATCTTGGTAGTAGTTTTATGACAAATTATCTGAGTAGAAGTTAATGATTTATTAACTCATTACGTTATATACATGCCTTTTAACGCCTTTTTCACCCCACCGTCCTTTTTGTGCCCCCACGCTCGTGGCGGGCATTTAGATTTACCCTTGTCCGTCTGTCCGTCCGTCCTTCCGTCCGTCCGTTCACTTTTGTGTCGCACGTAACTCAAAAAGTATTTGACCTAGAGTCATGAAACTTTACAGGAATGTTGATCAGCATGTGTAGTTGTGCACCTGGGTATTTTTGTCTGGATATTTTTAGTATTTTCAGAGTTATTGCCCTTGACTTAGTAAAATTTTGCAATTTTCAACTTGTGTCACATGTAACTCAAAAAGTATTTGACCTAGTCATGAAACTTTACATGAATGTTGATCAGCATGTGTAGTTGTGCACCTGGGTATTTTCGTCTGGATATTTTTAGTATTTTTAGAGTTATTGCCCTTGACTTAGTAAAATTTTGCAATTTTCAACTTGTGTCGCACGTAACTCAAAAAGTATTTGACCTAGAGTCATGAAACTTTACAGGAATGTTGATCAGCATGTGTAGTTGTGCACCTGGGTATTTTCTTCTGGATATTTTTAGTATTTTCAGAGTTATTGCCCTGAACTTAGTAAAATTTTGCAATTTTCAACTTGTGTTGCATGTAACTCAAAAAGTATTTGACCTAGAGTCATGTAACTTTACAGGAATATTGATCAGCATGTGCAGTTGTTCACCAGGTATTTTTGTCTGGATATATTTAGTATTTTTAGAGTTATTGCCCTTCACTTAGATTTTTTTTGCAATTTTCAACTTGTGTCGCATGCTACTCAAAAAGGATTTGACATAGTCATTAAACCTAATGGGCAGGTTGCTCAGCATATTTTGATTTGCACCTGGGGTTTCGCTTCTAGATTTATCCAGTATTTGTAGAGTTATTTCCCTTGACTTAGTAAAAAGATTGACTGAACAGTGGCGCGGTGGGGGCACCTGTGTCCTATGGACACATTTCTAGTTGTTGTCTCAAATGGTGAAAAAATGCCTTATTTAGGCCCCCAACAGTTGTTTTTGTTTGAGAAAGGTTGTTAAAAAAAGTGACCTCTTTTTTGGCGCGGCCCCCCAACCAAAAGATACATCAGGGGGTTGCCAGAAGGGAGATGTGCCCACTATGTTGGTTTTGTCGTGACACAGCTCATTTCTTTTATGAAATATCAAAGAAAATTTGCTAACCTCAGATATGTAATATCCATTTTTATATATTTACTTAATTTATTCCCTTTGCAAATATTTTATATTTGAATTTTTAGACATGACTCTTGTTTTAAGTATCTAGCAATAATGATATTTGAACCTAAAGTCTATTTGACAACTCCTGTTTTGTTATTAATATTATTCCTTGTTTTTTATATTATCAGATGTAGTTTTTAGATGTTTTGATATACATGTATATGGGTTGAAATGTTACAATGTGATTTTTGTGCTATGTTGAAAAGTTGCAAGAAATGTTCAATTCCATTTCATAATTTCACGTTTCATATTAATCTGTAGGTATGATGGTAGGTGGTTATTTTTGGGGCTCAATGGCAGACAAGTTTGGGCGTCGCTCGGTGTTGATGGGCTCACTGACAGTAAATGGGCTAGGTGGTTTGGTGTCAAGTACATCTCAAGTGTTCTGGCTGTTCCTCATAATGAGGTTTATAAGTGGTGTTGGGTAAGTGTTTTATCAATTACTTAATTGAACAAACTGTCCAGTTATGATTACAGGAATGTCATTAGTTTTACTTTGGTGCTTGAAATTACTTTTGTAAGGCAAAGTGAGACTTTCTTAGATCTTCCCCCGCCAGGAAAGCTTGAAAAATGTCCTCTGACTTGAATGTATTAGATATCAGAAAAAGAATCATAGCTGTTTTGGTACTTTGATATAAATTGTGACTCTTAATAACAATACCAATAATTACTTCAAACCATGGGGCGTCCGATTGGCTGAGGGTTAAAGATGTTGACTTCAAACCACTTGCTTGCTTCTCACCACTGTGGGTTCGAATCCTGACTGGGACTTTGGATGGATTCTTTCATGTGAGGAAGCTATCCAACTAGGTAATGGAACATTGGTGGTTCTACTCAGATGCCTGTCCATCCTGAAATAATGCACGGAAGGGTACCTGAGGTCTTCCTGCACCAGTAGTAAGCTGGAACGTCGCGATATGACCTATACTGTGTTGGTGTGAAGTAAAACCCAGTCAAACAAACAAACTTAAAACCATAGTTACCTTCTTCATTAAAGATATGAAAAGAAGTCAAGGGTCATCACTCTTTCATTTTTAGCTCGACTATACGAAGTATATGGAGAGCTGTCCTACTCGCCCCGGCGTCGGCGTCCGCGTCCAGATTTTAGATTAAAGTTTTGGTGCAGTAAAATATTTTTCACTATAACTTTGTCATTTCTTAAGGTATCAACTTCAAACTTCAAATATATGTTCCTTATCATCAACCACATCTTATGTGACAAGGTTCATAACTCTAGCACCAATATATTCAGATTTATCTCCCCTTGAACTTAGAATTTTCCTTAAAAAATACTATTTTTTACTGATACTTCTTTATTTCTTAAGGGATCAACCTCATACTTAAAATATATGTACCTTTTCATCATCCCCATCTTATGTGACAAGGTTCATAACTCTAGCACCAATACTTTCAGATTTATCTCCCTTTGAACTTAGAATTTTCCTCAAAAAATAATATTTCTTACTGTCCCTTCTTTATTTCTTAAGGGATCAACCTCATACTTCAAATATATTTACGTTATCATCTTCCCCATCTTATGTGACAAGGTTCATAACTCTAGCACCAATATTTTCAGATTTATCTCCTCTTGAACTTAAAATTTTCCATAAAAAATATTTTTTTTTACTGTAACTTATTTATTTCTAAAGGGATCAACTTCATACTTCAAATATATTTACGTTATCATCATCCACATCTTATGTGACAAGGTTCATAACTCTAGCACCAATATTGCAATAATTATCTCCCCATAAACTTAGATTTATTTACTAGAAAAATGTTATTTTTTATTTTAACTTTTTTACTTTTAAAGGTATCTACCTCAAACTTCAAATACTTATTCCTTATCATCAATTACATTTTATGTGACAGTGTTCATAACTCTTGAAGCAATATTTACAGATTTATCTCTCTTTGAACTTAGGATTTTCTTTAAGAAATATAATAACTTCTTTACTTTTTAAGGTATCTACTTCAAACTTCAAATATATATACTTCTTATCATTACACAAATGTTGTGTGGCAAGATCCATAACTCTAGCATGACTATTTCTAGAATTATACCCCTTGATCTTGGAATTTATGTTAACAAATATTATTTTTTTACTATAACTTAATACATAATTATACATAATTGATTTTTCTTTCATAGTTTTGTCCTCCTTACTGTGTCCAGTATTTTATTAGTCGAGCTTCGCTGTCTCCTGTGACAGCTCTTGTTAAATTTTATGCCTCTTTCTATGGACTGAGATCCTAACACTTGCATCATAATGATACAATTTAACCTCTAATTGTAATGGAATACATACATCTAGATACTTGAAAGCTTGTTGCAAATAAACCAAAAGTAAACACAAATTTGCAATATATATGCATTTCAGTGTTGGTGGAAGCATACCTGTGATATTTTCCTATTTTACGGAGTTTCTTCCTAAACAGCGAAGGGGAACCATGATAAGTGCATTAGCCACATTCTGGATGATGGGGAATATAATAGCTGCTGGTAAATACTTGAAACTTCCTTCCAATTGGTATTTAAACCTAATTGTCTATACTTAACATAAGTTGTGGTTATTGAACCCTATTTTGGATTTTGGTAACAAAGAGAGACTACTTTAACCTTTATGTGGTTATCTATGCTCTAGTATTGTTACTTAACATTTCATTTGTTTGTTTATGTTTATAATAAAGATTTATTTACATATTCGGGCATCATGACAATAAACATTATGCATGCCCCAAGATAGCGATTTTGAAGGTAGAATGGTTTATGCAGTTTAAATAGAGTGTAAACCTAATGTGAGAATTTCAAATCTGGTAATTATTAAAATTGTGTGGCCAATATCAAAACTTTAAGAGTGAGAAGAAAAGAGTCAGTCCCTCCAAACAAAGCAAAAGATGGGGAGAGGGACGGTGATTGCTGCCATTTTAAGCATAGTAAAAATGACAAGACTAAGCTATTTCCCTAATACCTCTACAATTATACTTTTGGATGGTAACTGTAGGTGGTTTTAATATACAAACCAAATTTTGTTGAATTTTATTGAAATATTCTCCTTTGTGAATTCCTACGAAGGCAGACTATTCTTTATGTATGAAGCATTGAGATCAGAATATTGGTGTAAGTTATCCATCTGGTGAGTGTTTTGTTTCTATTTATATCATCGTTATGTTTATGCTTTGTACAGGGCTGGCCTGGGCTGTAATTCCACATCCAGAACTTGGATATTTTTCTGAGAAGTTCACATACAACAGTTGGAGGATTTTCGTAGCAATCTGTACAATACCTAGCCTTACATCAGCAGCAATGTTTGCCTTTATGCCAGAGAGTCCAAAATTTTTCCTTACTGTAAGTTAGTTCAAATCCATCTAGAAATTTTGCTTCTATCATGTGATGAATTAACTGTCAATGAATAGTGGCTATAAGAACTAAAGAGCTTTGAGAGTAAGGCATTAACATTTTATTCCAGTCACTTCTATTCATTCAAGTTTCTGCAACTAAAGAAATGCTGTGTTAGTTTAGAAAGATCAAAGATCAGTGACTCCACCCAGTGTCTGGAATATCACTAAGGACTGGTTTCTTTTTAAATAATCAGGGAATCAGAACAATCGACACTGTTTCCTGTTAATAAAAATGTGGTAAACAGAACAAGGAAATTTATATGCTTAAAATATTTTATATTTAGATGGGCAAGGAGAGAAAAGCATTAGACAGTTTAAGAACAGTTAATAGAGTAAATGGTAGAAGTGGACCTCTGCAGGTAATACTATCTTAACCCTTTGTATTATATTTTAAACAATGTACTGTAGGAATCCTCATATTTTTCTTTCACTTTTTCTAAAAGGTCTCTAAAAGTTACAGTGTTGAAAATTATGAAGAAAATATTGTCTTATAATCTTGTAGATTCAATGCTTAAACAATATTATTCAACTTGTTCAATGAATTAAGTGTTGAAACTACACTCGTTCAGTATCCTCTATATTACAAAATTAATGTTATACAGTAAAAACTCCCTTATGAGACCACTAATGGGACTTTGCAAATCTGGTCTTAATAGCAGGTTGGTCTCTTAATAATGAGTTTGGTCAAACTGAAAACCAGGCAATGCATTAAGGGATCACATATACTGTTTTTCTTTAAGACAAAGTTCTATAAGTTTCCTATTCATTACTTCAAAGTGCAGATCAAATAGACTTTATGAAATTTTTAAACTTCTCTTAAGATACAAAATGTATTATGAATGTCTTTAAACACAAACTGATTTTTATATTCTAGTTAAAAGAATGACACAACTTACTCAATTAAATATTGTAGAAAATCGCCAATTGACTACAAAACCAACAGACCAATTAATCTTAATTATTTTTATAGTTGTCAAAGGCGATAACAATTTCAAAAAACATAATTGCATCACATTAATGTTTATTTAAAATTATTAAACAAAAGAGATAATGATAGCGACAACACCTCTAAAAAACATCCCGAAAGTTTTCTGTTCAATATTTTGTTATTTTAATCCTACAATTATGACATAAAAGGTGTGAAATTTAAGAAAATATCAGCAATTATTGATTATTTCCGGGTTTGATAGAAACTAACCATGACCTCTGCCATAAATTGGATGTCGTTAAATGTCGTAAAACTAGGACAACTGTTGTTTTCATCACGTGTCAAAAGGATTTCAGCAATATACAATGCAACCAATATCAAGATGAGAAAGTGCCCGCGGTCGTATTTATGGGTTTCCAAATGTACATAATTTACGAAACGGGACTGAATTTACTGATCATATTACGGAATAACGGGGTGGTCTCAAAATCGGGGTTGGCGACCAATAAAATAAAGAATAAAAAATCGGGTCTTGAAAATATTGTTCACATTAGTGGGTTGGTCTATAAAAAGGGGTGGTCGTTAAGCAGGTTTTTACTGTATATGAAATTATCAATAAAACATGTAAAATTTTTATGCTAGTTGTGTCGCCTTGAAAAGGTGACATATAGGGGTTACTTTTGTCGGCGGTGTCGGCGGCGGCGGCGGCGTCTGTGTCGGCGTCGGCGTCCGCTAAAGCTTGTCCGGAGCATAACTCAGTCACTATAAGTCTGATTGACTTCAAACTTGGTATGCATGCTTTTTTCAATAACCCGAAGTGCATTGCACAAGGACCGGTACTCTGCAGTTCTTATTTTTTGAGTTATTGCCCTTTGTTAATTTTCATACTTTATTTTTGTTCTGTAAAGGCTTGTGTTAAAACACAAGATGGTCTCACTGATATTTTTAGATGCCCTCTAGGCCTAAGACAAGGGTGTGCCTTAAGCCCTGTTTTGTTCTGTCTATTTATAGATGAGCTTCACACATATTTTAGTCGTAATAATGTTAGAGGGATACAGTTATTCCCTGATATAACTGAAATATTTATGCTTCTTTTTGCAGACGATGAAGCTTTGATATCAGACACAGTAGTTGGTCTGCAAAAACAATTGAATTTACTTTATGAATTTTGTAATGATTTTAAGATATATGTTAATATTGAAAAAACGAAAATAATCATTTTCAAACGAGTCGGTAGAATAGCTGCTAGAGAATCTTGGGTTTATAATAACATAACTGTTGATATAGTTAATGGGTTTTCATATGTTAGTTTGTATTTTACTAATCGCCTATGTTTATACAAAATGGCAGAGGACAAGGCGATTAAAGCTAAGAAAGTATTTAATCATATTGTTAACTCGTTAAATAATTTAGGATGTATACCCTATCAAACATTTTTCAAAATATTTGATGTTAAAGTTAGTCAAATATTATTGTATGGCTGCGAAATATGGGGAACAGGTAACATATCATGCACTGAAGATATTCATAAATATGCATGTAAACGTTTTCTTTATGTAAAGAGAACAGCTTGCCAATGATTCAGTTTTAGGGGATTTGGGGTCGTTACCCTATGTATATACTGGTTTATAAACGCATTGTGAAATATTGGATACGTATTATTAATATGCATCCTTCTAGATATGTTAAAATTTGTTATAATATGTTAAGATATTTTGATAATATTGGACATAAAAATTGGGTAACTGTAGTTTAGAACTAACTTGTATCAAAACGGTTTTGGATATATTTGGAAATGCAATGTGTGGATCAGCCAATTTTATTTTTATCAATATATGTCAATAGATTAAAAGACCAATATGTTCAAAATTGGATGTCAAATGTTCATTAAATGTGAAATTGATGGATTATATTCATTTTAAAAAAGATTATTTACCTGCAAAATATGTTTATTGTCTGGATATTAAAAAATTTAGAAGTGTTTTTAGCAAATTTTCGATCTTCATCTCATTGTTTATCGATAGAAACTGGGCGATATAGTTGTATTGAACGTGATTATAGATATTGCCCATTTTGTGAATGTGTGCAAGAAAATGAGTACCATTTTGAACTTACTTGTCCACTTAACTGTAATATAAGACTCACGTATATCAGTGATTATTTCTGGAAATATCCTTCATACATAAAATATTATAATCTGATGTCAACTCAAGATATTGATACAATTAAGAAATTAGCAACTTTTCTATATCTAGCGTTTAGAGAACGTGATCAATTTTTGTCTATGTTTAGATAATTAGTAATTTATACTTTTCTTTGATAAATGTAGCGCTTAAAGAACACGATTATTTTGTCTATGATTAGATAATTAGTACCAATTCTATTTCTATGATAATTGTTGACATTTTGTTTAATATATTTCTATTATGTCTTAACCATGTCTGATTTGTAGCATCCACAAATGTATATTTTGTATTATAAATCTTTATATGTGTATGGGCCGGTGGCCTTATAACTCAATAAAGTTTGATTGATTGATTTTTGTCCGAGCCATTTCTCTTCAACTAAAAAAGCTATGGACTTGAAACTTCATAGGATGATAGATCTCATTAAGAAGAAAATGCAGTGCACAAGAACCAGTACTCTGCACTTCCTAATTTTTGAGTTATTGCCCTTTGTTAATTTTCATACTTTATTTTTGTCCGGGCCATTTCTCCTAATGTATAAAAGCCATGGACTTGAAACTTCATAGGATGATAGGTCTCATTAAGAAGAAGTGCAGTGCACAAGAACTGGTACTCTGCATTTCTTATTTTTTGAGTTATTGCCCTTTGTTGCTTTTCTTACTTTATTTTTGTCCTGGTTATTTCTCCTCAAGTATGAAAGCTATGGACTTGAAACATCATAGAATGATAGATCTTATTGATAAGAAGTGTAGTGTACAGAAACTGCTGCTCTGCACTTATTATTTTTTTAGTTATTGCCCTTTGTTATTGTTCATATTTCATTTTTGTCCTGGCCATTTCCCCTAAACTACATTGTTCACAAGGCGACATATCCAACTCGCGGAGTTCTAGTTTATGTATTATTCTTGTATACCAAGTAATTCATTACCAAAGAACTTAATTATCATGAATTTAGCTAGAAGAACATGCAATTTTTTTGACTGACAAACAAATGTGATTTCATATTTTTATTATGTTATTTTTGACATGAACATTTCTGCAGATATCACAATTAATATTAACAAAAGATAAAGATGGGATAGTTCAATTGGAGGATTCTATAGAAGATAAATCAACATTTAGAGAAGGTGCGAGACATGTAAGTTACATATTGATGTACATGTAAAATCTTGTAATTAACCATTTCTTGGCAACTTTAAGCTTGGTGATTAAGGATTACATACTCTAAAGACTTGCACAGTATAGACAACTCTGCCCTCCATCAAACAGAGTTTGCATGTTTGGTTGATTGACTTGATATTTTTCAATGCTCTCAAGGGATCCCCTTTGCCAGAATTTTGATATCTGAAAAAAGGTGTTGTATGATGGTTCTTTACCAAGTTTGTGCAAATTTTACCTCTGGGGCCAAAATTTTTGTCAGTTGTATAACCTACATGTATATACAGAAGAAAAAGAACAATCCACATATTAACAACAACAGTCTGGTTAAGGCTAATAAGCACTTGACCTGACTCAAAATATAACTGCAACATTCTGAGCAATACAATAAATTACACAATACATTACAATACAATGACGGACATCGGATAATAAGGTAACTCACTTTTAACTTATTATTACATGAACTGTATGATCATTGATGTCAGTTACATTTTAATTTATATCAATTATAATTTCATACATTTATATATCTTTGATTATTTGGCTTATTACCATGTTCCATATGTGTTCTTTTTACTAAACATCAATGGTTATAAATGTTTACTAGTTTTATTATAATAATTATGCTCATATATAAATATTTATATTGTTTGGTATTACTAACCTCCTACCAATGTAAACATAAACATAATGTGACATAATGCCTTGTATTAAAAATGAAATTACAAGACCATTATTTTCACTACTAAAACTCTAAAGCATGACATGTTTTTATGTCAGATATGAATATGTCAGATTTAGACACACATACAAATATGCATTTTAGTATTTGACCAATTGCCTTGTATCGAAAACGAAAATACAAGAAGAGTATGATGTAAACAAGGGAAATAACCATATGAATTATAATGTACAAATGATAATCAAGATTTGTTTTCCTTTAGTTTTTTTACATGCAGTACTTATTTAAATTTCTGGTTTAGCCTAAAGGCTAAATATTTACATACTAGCATTTCACTAGTATTGGAATTATGCCCCATTGGTCAAAATAAGCCCTACTCCATGGGGCAGTTGTTTATTTGTAGCTCAACTGTATTTTATGTAGAACTACATAGCTGAGAACTTTGATATTTGGTATATAGCATTGTCTAGTGGGTCTCTATCAAACGTAATCAAATTATAGCCCTGAAGTTTGATATTACAATTTTTCCATAGACTTGTATAGCAAAACTGTTGATATTTTTTTTTTGTCAGAAACCCTAAGGCCAAGAGGATATTACTACATAACATGTAGCATTGTTTAACTGTTGTCTCAGTATATAGTTTAATGCTTAATAGTGAGGCATTTAGTGAAGGATACAGGATACTTTATAATATGAGCCGCGTCACAACAAAACCAACATAATGTGTTTGCGACCAGCATGGGTCCAGACCAGCCTGCACATCCGCGCAGTCTAATCAGGATCCATGCTGTTTGCTATCAGTTTCTCTATTTGTAATAAGGTTTCTGAGCCAACAGCATGGATCCTGATCAGACTGGGTGGATGCACAGGCTGGTCTGAATCCATGCTGGTCGCAAACGCATTAAGTTGGTTTTGTTGTGACGCAGCTCATTTGTTCTGATTATTCTTATTTTCCAGTTACTTCATCAAACTCAGGAATTGTTTGGTAGAACTTTATTGAGAACCACAGTCATCATGATAGTTATCAACTTTACTTTGAGTTTCGGGTAAGTTTCTAAACTAATTAATGTTACAGTAAAGCTTTTGAGAACTAAATTCTTGAGAGTGACAAGTCTTTGCCTTCATTTAAGAGCTGGGCTTGCTTGGAATAGTTGCTGTAATAATATAGACATACATGTATCAATGTAAACAGGATAGAGTCAGACCTGTCACAACAATGTGCAATCTTAAACTTAAGTCTGCTGGTGGCAACTACTGGTACTCATGTAACTAGTGTTGAAGTAGGCATCTGTTTCATCTGATCATGGTCTCCATTGTTGGCTATTTAGCCAGTAATAATTTTGAAATCTTCCCTAAAATAATGAATGGTTTTGTCCAGGTTGAAAGATGGACAAGTCTATTCAAGATATTTAGCAAAGAAGGGTTAATAGATCCAATAGGCTAATTTGCTATATTTCTATATCTATTAATATATATTTCTCATTTTTGCTGGGTTATATGTTGCATCAACACTGTAAAGGTCTTATATTAGCAACTTCCCAGCTTTACTGAAGACTCAAGACCTGAGGTGATGCTCTGTACATTATTTTAGGCATGAATGTGAATCTTAGTAGAACCATATACATTCTGTAAGCTTCCTTACATGAAAGAATCGTGAATTGGCGGGATTCGAACCTACAACGGTTAAGGGCTAGTGGTTTGAAGTCATCAACTTTAAGCACTCAGGCACAGAAAAAGTTTGAATATTATGTTAGAATAAGATGTTCAAATTTTGCATGATTTGAATATTATGTTAGAATCAGATTTCCAAATTTTGCATGATTTGAATACATGTATTATGCTAGAATCAGATTTCCAAATTTTGCATGATTTCAACATTATGTTAGAATCAGATTTCCAAATTTTGCATGATTTGAATATTATGTTAGAATCAGATTTCCAAATTTTGTATGATTTCATGTTGCAGATATTACGGGTTATGGATGTGGTTCCCAGAGATTTTTTCAAGAGTTGAGAAGTACGGGGGCTCCCCTTGTAGTCATCCAACAATAAATACAACATCCTCTAATGAAACAACAACATGCAATGGCATTCCGAATGATTGGGTGTTCTTTGAAGGGTTTATGACAGCATTATCAAATCTTCCAGGAAATATACTTACCATTTTAATAATGGATAAAGTAGGCAGAAAACCACTTCTAGGTAAGAAATGTAAATTTAGAAAGTCTTTTCAGGTTGTGCTTTGCTGCAAGATATGGAATTTATATGGCTAGTTAAAGCATAAGATAAAGTTGCATTACTGGAATCACTTTCTAAGGGTTTATTTTAATAGTGAAATTATTCACTACCTTTTCATACTGTGCATACAGAATAGTAATTTCTTGCATATCAGACAGGATTATCCACTGTTTACACCGGTGCTAGTAAAACCTGTCTGACACCCCCTTTGTAAGACATGCCATGTGTTTTAAATGACATCATTTCCATTCTCTTTTTATGAATGAATTGCGTTCGTTATGATAACGTCATAAATGTTCCGTTTAAAAAGTTGTAAATTCATACGCTAGCTTCTATAAAAAAAAATGTCTAATGAAAATATCAGTTTTAGAAATTTCTTTGCAAAATGTCATTAATTTGAAATATGCAAGAAAAAGAATCAAACACCAGCTGTTGTTACAGATAGGAATATCTAGCTCTCAGGTAACTGTTAAGTAGAAACTTTGCAGAGCCTTGTTACCGCTGTAAACAGTTACTCTCAAGCTTGATATTCCTATCTGTACCGTCAGCCACTGTAAGATCCATATAGGATTGTGTATATTAAACAGAAAAATAGGTAAAACAATGGAAATGATATTGGAAAAAAATACAATAAATGCTGAATAAAAAGGTAACCATTGATTCTGAATAATCTTTATGTGTGCGTCACTACTATCAATACAGCTCTGGTACATTCAGATAATGGACTTTGGTTCATACATGGTCTCTTTCATGACTTTAAAAGTTAAAAACTTTTGTTTTCAGGCCATGTGAATGTCTTGAACTGGTATGAAAAGTTGTCATCTTTTAGTTTTAGAATAGAGAATTGTTCCAAGCATAGACGTAGGGTTGAATTATCATCAATTCCCAAACTATAGCAGGCTAACAAAACATATTGTTCCAACTCAAATCGTAAAAAAAATGCTGTGAAAATTAGGTATTTGTATAACATGTATAATGTACACGCAGGCACTAATTATGCCCCCACTTCGAAGAAGAGGGGGTATATTGCTTTGCACTTGTCGGTCCATAGACCAAATGGTTTCCGAGTGATAACTAAAGAACCCTTAGGCCTAGGAACTTCAAACTTGGTATGGTGATTGGTCATGACCAGTAGAAGACCCCTATTGATTTTGGGGTAAAGGGGTCAAAGGTTAAGGTCACATTGACCTTGTATGTTAAAATGGTTTCCGATCAATAACTAAAGAACGCTTAGACCTAGAAACTTCAAACTTGATATGGTGATTGGTCATGACCAGCAGATGACCCCTATTGATTTTGGGGTCAAGGGGTCAAAGGTCAAGGTCACATTGACCTTTTAGGTAAAAACAGTTTCCAATCAATAACTAAAGAACGCTTAGGCCTAGGTACTTCAAACTTGGTATGGTGATTAGTCATGACCAGCAGATAACCCCTATTGATTTTGGGGTCAAGGGGTCAAAGGTCAAGGTCACATTGACATTGTAGGTGAAAAAAGTTTCCGATCAATTAATAAAGAACGCTTAGGCCTAGGTACTTCAAACATGGTATCATGATTAGTCATGACCAGCAGATGACCCCTATTGATTTTGGGGTCAAAGGTCAAGGTCACATTGGCCTTGTAGGTAAAAACGCTTTCTGATCAATAACTAAAGAAAGCTTAGGCCAAGGAACTTCAAACTTGGTATGATGATTGGTCATGACCAGCAGATGACCCCTATTGATTTAGGGGTCAAAGGTCAAGGTCACATTGATCTTGTAGGTAAAAACGGTTTCCGATCAATAACTAAAGAACCCTTAGGCCTAGAGACTTCAAACTTGGTTAGATGATTGGTCATGACCAGCAGATGACCCCTATTGATTTTGGGGTCAAAGGTCAAGGTCACATTGACCTTGTAGGTAAAACGGTTTATGATCAATAACTAAAGAACCCTTAGTCCTAGGAACTTCAAACTTGGTATGATGATTGGTTATGACCAGCAGATGACCCCTATTGATTTTGGGGTCAAAGGTCAAGGTCACATTGACCTTGTAAGTAAAAACGGTTTCCTATCAATAACTAAAGAACCCTTAGGCCTAGGAACTTCAAACTTTGTATGATGATTGGTCATGACCAGTAAATGACCCCTCTTTATTTTGGGGTCAAGGGGTTAATGTTATAGTGACCTTGTACTTAATTACGGTTTCTGACCAATAACTCAACAACTCAAGTTGCCTTGGTTGATATTTTTATGTGCTGTTGGTATACACATTTGAAGGTCTTATGTAATATAACAACTTGGCTGTCATTAATGAGGCCTATATGATTCATAAAATTTATGTATATATTATTTGGTAAGATTTTTAATAACTTTAATTGCTGCACACAACCTGTTGGGTCACAATAATTATTACCTTGTGACTAGTCATTACCAGTAGGTACTAGAAAACCTTTATTGATTGCTTGTTCACTGGGTCAGAAGTCATGCATAATAACCTGATCACATGACAAATTGGCTGCCGATAGGGGGCATACATGTTTTACAAACATATCTTGTTAACCTTGAAAATTATCTTTTAGAAAAGTTTTCTGATATAATATTTTCAGCAACAAGTATGGTGTTAGCAGGTGTGACTGTATTTTTTCTACCTATTGTTCACAGTAAAGTTCAAAATTTACTCATATCTTGCGCATTTGGTGCAGTAACTACTGTTGGCTGGAATGCTATAGATGTACTGCAGGCAGAACTTTTTCCTACAGCTGTCAGGTATGTCATATGTTTGTTTACTAATTAGTTAAAGAATCTGGTGTTCATAAAAAATGCCTTCATAGGTGAATATTTGAGGTAAGTTTCTAATTCTTCAATCTTGCCCGTTTCCTTGGTTTATTCAAGTCCTGTAAAAACACCAATAAATTGTGATCCAAATGTCATAGTCTGTGTTATTCACCATGACATGTTGGGGGTGTTTTTTGTTCTCTCTTTTTTTTTTAGTCGGGTTTTATGTCTCACCAACACAGTACAGAGTATATTATGGTTTCCAGCTTTACTGAAAGAGGAAAACCTCAGGTGCCCCTCAATGCATAATTACAGACAAGAACAGGCACCTTTTATAAAGCTATTACTTTCAAGAGTTCTGAAGAAATATAAAGACAGCAAATTTCATTTAGATAATGTATGTCCACTCAAAACAAACAAATTTCCTTTACATGTATATATTGTATAAAGGATTTCAACATTAATTTAATGCTTATCTTGAAATATTAACACAGCAAATTTCATTAAGATATTATATGTCCACTCCAAAACAAAACAAACAAACAAATATCCATTTTATAAAGGATTTCATTCTTAATGAACAATTCTAAAATGACCCGCATTTTTCCCTATTGAACATAGAGGAACAGAAAGTGTGTGTTATTATGCAACAGATGCACAGTTTGACTTTCTATATTTAGACATGTGACGTAATCATTATACACATGATGTAACCACTAAAAATGTGACGCGCTGAAAATAAGTACGGAAACAAATCAGGCGCAATTTTGCTTAACTATCAAGTACGGCAACATTTATTTGTTGATGTCGTGTTAGAATTGAAATAATATATCCAAATCAGTGTTTTATCGCTTGATAACATCACTGTTTGTCTTTGGATGCACATCATTATATCACTCGGGCTACGCTCTCGTGATATAATTCCTCGCATCCGAACTCCAAACAGTGATGTTATTGAGCGATAAAATCACTGTTTCGGATATATTTTTTCTTAAATCTCTATATACGTGCAGGTCAACAGCATTTGGTTTACAATCTGGAGTAGGTCGGATTGCTGCGATCCTCGGGAATGTTTCCTTCGGGAGTTTAGTAGATGTTCATTGTGCTGTACCGATGATTATGGTATCAGTATTATTGACTATTGGAGGACTGACGGCCATCAAGCTGCCTAATACAACAGGGAAAGATATCCATTGATAGATGTTGTGTTTCTTGGCAGGATATTACACTCGATCAAACCCAATTTAATTCTTATTGTTAAACTCTGATGCATTTTGTTTTAAAAATGATATTTATCAAGTTAAATATTTTTTAATATATTGATAACAGATTTGTCTGTGATATTATGTCATATTGTATGTTATAATTATGTTATTATTATGCATACTGCTTCTCATGTTTTCTACACATTATGTTATTTTTAATTTTGGTTTCGCGTAAGCACTATAAGAAGCGTTATTTAAAGACGTTTTGGCTTGTAGCTTCACACCTGTCTTCAGGAATTCAGAATTATAAACAATTGTCTAAGATCCAATTCTAGTATGTACTTTTATGAAATTTTACCTGTTTATGACTTGAGAAACTTACGGTTTTTGCCTGCAAGTTCTATCTCTATAAACTTTGAAGTCACTACTTTGGTGCCATATTAATTGTAGGTCATTATTAAAGACATAACTTAAGCATTGATTTTAATGAATAATACCTCTATATAAATAATAAAAATATCTTATTGCATAATTCCACTGCTACAATCTCTGATGGTATTAACTTGAAATTATACAATAGTTCTTTTGTTTTTTGTTTTTTTTTACAATTAAATGTAGGTCATTGTCCATGGCTACATATTTTTAGTGTAGATTGCTATTGGGTATTTATTTAAAGGGTACATGAAAATCTGAAAGAAGCAGGGTTTGTATAATTGTGACAGAAAGTTTTATTTAAACACTATATTCATGTCAACTAATTTTTATGATACTTAACATTTCTTTTTGTACATTTTTCATGATATATAATAACATGTATGTAATCAATTTAAATTGTAATCAAAAATATACTTTTAATTTTATAAGTTGGACAATTGGTATTTGTGTATTATTTATAATGATTTGTTATAAATTAAGAATTTGGATCTGTTAAATGATATAAATATTAGGGAATCTCTTGCTAGCTCCAAATTACTATGTTTATGTTTTAATATTAAAGTTGTAGAAAAAATTAAAATGATAAGTTAGCATTTGATTAATTTACTGTAAAAAATGCAATAACTTTAAAAGTTCATTTATATATTACATTTTATACCAGTTAATATTTTGCTAAATATACTGTGTATGCAACATGTGATAGCAGGAAAATAAGCATTGCATACAAGTGAAAGTTGTATCAGGCATAATGTTGCTGATGTGATCATCACTTTATATAACAGTCCAAGATAAAAGCTATGATAAAAATATAAGGAAGTATAATATAATAAAATGGTCATCTTAAGACTGTCTTGATATAAACTTGTATATAGCATTGATGTACCTCATAATACCAGATCACACTTATCACACTTCATTTTTTTGCGCTAACCAGCTCCTGAGGTTATAAAAATATTCTCTAAGCTTAGTCAGAAACTGCCACATAATGTACATTGACTAATGAAATTTGTAGAATTTGAATGAGAACACAGAAAAAGATTTAAACCCCCAAGGCCAGGTCTAGAAAAAATCCATTTGAGCTAAATACAAGATCTAGATCGAAATACTTGTTTCATAAACTAGATTTATAACTTGTATGATAAAATTTTGACAGAGTTGTCAAAAGCTAAATTGTGTTGATGATGAAATTAAATCTAGACTATTATTAATATAATATAGATGCTTATTCATGCGTATGTTAATTTATAATTCAAAATTCTTTTAATACTTATAGCACTTTATAATTGTATAAACATACTTATTTAAGCTCAGTTTTGAAAAAGCTTCTGCAATTTGTATTTTTCACATTTGAATTTGTCGCTTCAGTTTGTTGTACCAGCTAAAGAAAACAATGCTTTTGAATTCAAGAAATTAAGACTATGGTATTCATTATTTCAGGATAGCTTTTTAGCATACTACAGTGTCATATCTATTTTACATAATATACTGGTATCACTTTATTAGATATGATAATGCAAAAATAATACAAATGAATTTTTATCATTTATTATTGTGTGGCATACCACTTTTCAATTTATACCACTACACAAATGGTGACTTCTAGATTAAAGTCTAAAGCAATCTGAACCATTGTAAATCAGAAAATAAATTCTTCTAGAAATACGTAGTAGTTGCTTATGTTTTACATTTTTTGCACATTAAAAATTCCAGATTTTATTTTTGAAAGGTGGGGGAGAGTTTTGTATGTGGCCATGTTATCATTGTCGAATCAATACCTTTACATGGAATCAGCAGTGGTTCATTTAACTTTGTTGGACATTGTCTATGATCCTTCATAATCTTCAATCAACTGTCAAGTTCACAGCGACACTATGTGTATAATCCTTGTCCGATCAATAACTTGAGAAATGATAAGCCTACGTTTGGTAAAGTTAGTAAGGATATAGTCCATGGCAAGAAGATGACCAATGTAATATGGTTTTGGCAACAGTGAGCTAGTTGTCGGATCAATAACTTGAGACAGAATTAGCTTAGATTAGATTATTATAGTAATTTCATTTAATTTAATGATTTCAAAGACTCTATTAAACACATTTTGTCATTTACCCATGTGGACAAGGCATTAGTGTGTCTGTCGATAACTTTTATTCTGTTGAAAAGTTTATGAGATGGCCTGGGACTGTGGGCGCAACGATATCTTTATAAATGCTTAACACTTTCAAATTATATTTGGCACAAATTATCATCCTTACGAAACACTATGTAAAGTGATGTACTACCCAAGGTCACTTCGTGTCCGCTCTTTAATAACTTACTGAAAATATTGGGGGAGGAGCTGAATACGTGTACTGATTTTTTATTTTACAGGTAAAAATAAGAACAATATATGTTGTTAAGAAACTAAGGTTTACTAATTAATGTATACAATAAGTAATATGATTGTATTTTCATAACAAACCATGCATGCATGAAACAGGAATTATAAAATTCAAAGACTCAATATGGTGAAGTTTGAATTTATATAAACCAGCAAGAATACAATAATTAAGCTTCTCATTATTAAGATTTGTCCGACAGCAAGCAATCACAATGTAAAAAATTACAACAAAAATCATGCGAGACGAATATTGTTGAACATGTACAGATAATTGTTTCATTTGCAACAAACCTTTGATACATCGATATGCAGGTCTATGATCGATGGCTTAGGCGTTATTCAAGATTTTATCTAGGTAGTGAGTTTACTCACATTCTCGAAATTTGTATTAAAGTCTTTCACTCTTTAACTTTTTATGTGTGTTATCGTTTGGATTTTATTTTATTCTGGACGAGCCGAAAGTTTGAACAATATAGAAATTAATCAGATTTACAAGAGTATTCTATTTCTTATCTGTTTTCTATGTAAATAGTCATGTTATATGTGATAATGGTTACACACGAGGTATGTTAAAAAGTTAGTGGACTTTTGCTGTCATATTTTACTTGGTTTATAAAAACAACCTTGGTTGATATTAATCGAACGAGTGTCTTTATATCTAAAAGTAAGTTTTACTTTTATCTTATACTTCTACATCCGTTGCGAACTATGGTTACTATTTGTATTACATGTATTATCGCTGACTTGTTTGATATAAAATGCTAGCCGGTGTTCAGTAGATTTACCGCAGATAACAATTGGCAGTTGATAAAATATTTTTTATTGGTTAAAATCATATTGTTTAAAGATCGGACGATGGTGGTTTTAAATTGATACTATAAAA